GCAAATCTCTGGATTATGGCGGGTTTCAGGCATCTGCGCAGCCTATTGCCTTCGGCGCTAGCTAATCACTCGCAAAATGTGTTTCATATAAATTAAACTTTCTCGTAGTCAGGGTTCCGCATTTCCTAAGTAATTCTAGGATTATTCAGGAACGTTGTAACCTTTGACACTCCATTTTTGCTTAATGAAACACGTGTCACAATGACACGCTCACGAAAAAAAAGAAACATCACATGGCAACTTCAGAGAAAAGAAATCACCGGGCAGTAATAATACATAACGATTGCAAGGGATGTGAGTCTGATTGTGAAACAGGCGAAACTGCACGCTATTAATTCCACAGGGGGCATAACAAATCAAATAATTACTGTAGCTGGGAGACTGGTGACGGTAGTGACGGTATAGAATATCTGAATCGGTAAAGAACTAAAGATACATCATACATGTGATGCACAAGAAAGCCAGCTAACATAGGAACTAAATAAGGCCTCGGTAAGATAACCTGAACGGTAATTTGCTTCTTCGACTCCCGTTAGTTTTGCAATGGTTGGTTTTGAGATTCTGAACTTTTGATGTGAGAAATCAGGGGAGACAGCGAGAAGGCGGTCGAGTGGGACCACGCGCGCCACATGCGGGCTCGCCAAAGCGTTCCCCAATGAGTGCACCTCGCATCTCACGGCGAGCGTCCTTGCACTCAGGTTCCGTTCCATTGTTTTCCTTCTCATGATCATATCATCCCCATAGTTTGTGGCTGCAATCGTCTGTATTTGTCCCTTGACTGAATGCCAACTTGCCTTTCAGAGAACACTCGGCGTGCCGATGGTACCGATGGAGATGATTTTGAGCTGAACTGGAAGCCAAATTAACACCGAGCGATCCTTGATGGCGAAAGTAGAATTTGCCTCCTGAATTAGTCTCCATTTCCTTTCCCTCAAGCTTTGGTTTCATCTCTAGTGCTAAGGGCTACTCAAGTTTGACACTACAGTCATCTACAGGTAACACAAAATGGGAAGTACGTACACTGACCTAGGAAGTAGGAACAACCAAACAAAGATTAGACATCTTCTGCGCCATAAGGTGCGTATCTAATCAAGCACAACTAGTGAATGACTTAACCACTCTATATAAGAATCTTGTACATCGCAGCACAGCTGCACAGGGGCTGATGGGAGCGGGATTCCCAATCTCCCGTCAGGTTTAAGATAACTATCGATTTGATCGAAAAGCGACATACTGATTCGGCTTCAGATCACAAAGACCCGAACATTGCAACCTTAGCACCACGTCTCCTCTGGTCATCAACCATGCCACAAGCCGGTTGACCTTGCCAAGAAGACTAATCCCTGCTGCGAATCGAAAAACACATGCAAGAACAAGATAAACGCAACTCAAGTATAGTGATAATTGCGGATGTATGATTAGCACTCAAATGTAGGGTTTCACAAATCGATAACGGCGATTATTCAAAGATAGATTGATCTAAAGCAAAACCTAAACCCTAATGTAGACGGCGGCTACTGAATATATAGCCTAAGGGGCATGCAAGCACCCTTATTCACGTCCCTAAGGAGCCCCAGCATGTTACAAGGCCCAAATGGCCCAAAAGACGGCAACGCAGCGTCCTGACAGATTCTGGACGTCAACTTCTTTCGACGATTCCCGTTGATTGGAAAAAAATTTGACGTGGGACCACATCATTGGTTGCCTTATCAAATTATCTTTCCAACCATATGTGGATCGTCGAAAACAGAGTCCGTATGCGAGCTGGGCGACCGTTTTACTACACGCGGCTCCTAAGGCCCAAGATGGATTCGAACTTGACTTGGATTGGGCCTCCAACTCATCGTGGACGCCCGTGCTTGCCTCCTAAGGTGGTGGCCAAGGAGGAGGACGTCCTTGGGCATCTCTTAGGTGTTCTCCATCTTCTTTGGGCATGCTCTAACTTTGGGCCTGGGTCCCAAGTGTGAATAACAAGCCCGCGGCGACGTCGTAGTACCCGATAGAAATAGTGGCAGAATGTCTTGATGATTTGAAGACCTTGCCGACATGATATTGAGGCAGGACCAGATCTATTTGAATGCTTAACAAATAATCTTCCCATCAAGTGCTCATTGACCTCAATCGCACTCCGTATGGACGAGTTATGATCTTCACAATAAAGCACTATCGGGCTACCGACGAACCGAATGTTGGACTTTGATGAGCTTGCACTCCAAAATCGGTCTTGTTCATGACATATCCATACACTATCATCATTGCCATCATTCATAAGCACATTTGAAATACTGATATTTGGTAGTAATAAATTCTTAGTTTTATCATTATACAAACATAGGAACGAGCTCACCTTGTCTTTAATTTTCATGGGCGTATCATAGGTGTCATGTCCTCATCAGGGGCCTAGTCAAGAAGATTGTCCTGGCAAAGTGTGGAATCGGCCTCTTGACAGCGCAAATGGGCTGGTGGTCATCGAGTGACTAATCATGGAGCAGTTAGACCATCGTCAGTTAATCAGTCCTTCAACTAGAAATTGGTGCATTAGGTAGTAAGATAAGATGTGTCTTAAGCTCACACATAGCATATTGTCATTGGAAAACATATTTACTTAAGCCACGGTTGGCCCGGTTCGTTTCGCTGAATTTTGGCTTTTGTTGATGCTTATGCGGAAATACTATGAGAGGAAAATAATGTTCGCTCGCTGAAAAGTACTGCTGAAGTAGTGCAGCAGAACAGTATAGGCCAAGTTTGGCACTGAGGATGAGCCAATTCGTGACTAAGGTAGGAGTAAGGACAAAGGAATATGTGATTATGTTCTCAAATCTCGACATGCCGGGCATATCACGACAATTGCGATCACAATCTACTATTAGTCTCAATCCTAAAATATATTCACCACAAGAAATCTAGGCTTCTATGAAAGTTTTATGACAACTGCGCTAGAGATGATAGACGTTTGTAACATAATCATGTTTTGGTCATAAATTTCAGCTCAAAGTCGTCACAACATGCTTCTGTGATACACTTATGACGATATTTTATGACATGCTTAACTATGATAGTCCCAAAAAGCTATTCGAAGTTCTTATAATTTAAAATTTAAAATATTAAATTGATCAAACAAACTTGGATAGAAAGTTTACTAAAACCAAAGTAGTAGGTCTCGATGAGGTCTACAACTTTGTAGTTGATTTTTTCTATTTAAAATCATTTACTATATCAAAATTTTGTTGAAGTTCTCATATTTTGAAATTCAAATTAGAATTGTATAAACGAACTCGGATGAAGAAGAAATGATCAAAACTAAAATTGTAGATCTTGATAAGTTCCACAACTTTTTCATTTGAAATTGCTTACTATCCCAAAATTCTGTTTGAAGTTATCATATTTTAAAATTCAAAATTTTAAATTATTCAAACGAACTCGTATGGAGAAATGACCAAAACAAATGTTCTAGATCGTGATGAGTTATTGAAATTTATAGTTTATAATTTTTTCATTTAAAATCATTTACTGTCCCAAAATTTTGTTTGAAGTTCTCATATTTTGAAATTCAAATTTCAAATTATTCAAACGAAATCAAATGGAGAAATGACAAAAACCAAAGTTGTAGATCTCAATAAGTTCTCAAATTACGACAATTGGGATCACAATCTACTATTACTGCCTCAATCCTAAAATATATAAGAGTAATAAATGGTTCACGAATGAATATCGAAATCCACACGTGCTCAAGGATTTGGTTGCCGACTCTCTCTCTCTCTCTCACACACACACACAAACTTCTAGTTTTTCACACTCTCAACCAAACTCACAAGATCTCACTTGAATTCTCATAAAGAGGGATTGGGGAGACCTAGAGAGACATCCTCTTCAGATATGGGCATGGGAAGGCAACAACAGCCCCTCCAAATAAGGGGGAGGGGGTATAAATAACCCACACTCACAAAACGAGCTGTTATGCCTGTCAAAAGTGGGAACTTTCAAGGTTGAACAGAACTAGCCGTTATATATTTTCTTGAGCAAGTCGGAACTTGTTATACTGTTCAAGTGTGAACTTATACTGCTCAAGTGTGAGCATTTGGCTAATGTGACGTTAAGGGAGTGAGCGCTTGTGTTGGGTTGCCTTTTTCTATTGTCTGTATAGACCTGTACAATATCTCTTTGGATTTTCCTACTTCTTATAATATAACAGAGAACTCTTCTACCGGTCCTTAAAAATACTTTCACATGGAATATTTAGGAGACGACGTAGTTAATAAAAGTTCTCCATCAGACCATCATTCCGTCGCACCGCCGCATTCTCGACACGTCGACCGGTCGCCGAGGAACTGAATTTTCTGATTGCTTATTATTACGAATGAATTAGACTCACCATACGTTCAGATGCAAAACGTTTTGGAACCGATAAAGTACAGGTATATACGCCAACCATATGAATATGATGCACCCCAACCTAATACGCCACAGGTCCGCAGCCATCCGCTCGATCGGTATGACACGGTATCGTATTCACCAGTTCCAGGCTGGCTCGTTAGTTTATCATGTAACACGTACGATGATAACGTTCTCCTTCAGCTGTTACCTTCATCCGCACCATCAGAAGACGTCTAGTTTCTGATCGTTTCGTGTGATTAACATGTACGCTAAGCATCAATTATGCATTTATGCTGGACCAGATACTTGGGGGCATCCAATTCCCTCACCACTTGCATATAGTACTATTAATCTGCATTTCAGTTCTAGTCTTCTCGACCTGTAGTATATAAGTGCTGAACTGCTGGTAGATACAAGTGCACGACGTTGTGCCTACATCTCTGATCTCTCTGTGCACACTCGGCTCTGAAGAATCATTCTTTCACATCCTCCAGTTTCTGGTGACAAGAGATATCAATCATGGTAATGTGGCATCTGTCCTTCGTTCAGCATGAACTATTTTCTAAACAACATGTATGTTAACTTTTCCGTTCCCTCAGCAACAACCGGTCGGTCACCACCGAAGGATGGTCGCGTCGAGCAAGGTCATCAGGGTCGGGCCGTGGGGAGGCCGCGGCGGGAGCCCGTGGGACGACGGCCCGCACCGGGGCGTCCGGAGCATCACCGTCACATACAGCCGCTCCCTGGAGTCGATAAGGGTGGAGTACGTCGACAGCAACGGCCGCCCAGTCCACGGCGAGAAGCACGGCGGCGGGACGGACCGCAGCCACTCCGTGAAGGTAGCTAGCAGGGGAACCGTACGAGCGATCGATCGAGCTGCTGCGGCCCGCCAGTCTTACTGCATCTACATAGCTACGTATATAGAACAGCGCGTGTGTCACCTTGGTAACTTTTGCAGTGGCGTGCAGATCGACGTGGACTTCCCGTACGAGGTCCTGACGGGCGTCAGCGGCTGCTACCGCGCGGCGCACGGTGGGTCGCCGCCGGTGGTGCGGTCGGTGACGTTCGCGACGAGCCGGGGCACGGTGCACGGGCCGTTCGGGGACGCGGACGCGGACGGGGAGCCCTTCTCGTACCCAATGGAAGGGGGCGTGGTGGTCGGGTTCACGGGCCGGAGCGGCTGGCACCTCGACGCGCTGGGCCTCTACGTGGCGGCGCTGCGACCCGAGACGCTCCGCGACGTGGTCCAGGAGCGCGGCCTCATGGCGTACCGGTCCTTCGTCTACGGGGATGCCGGGCCGGCGCGCCATCACAACAGCAGGAGGCCGTTCGAGTGGTGCTACAAATAACTGCATTCGGCTAAGAGTAGCTGGTCGGTCTGGTTCGACTTCGACAGACGGCAGAGTGAAGTGTTCGTTCTTCAATTTAGCCGGAGAGGGAGCGAGTCGCTTTCCTTACGGTGTTTGATCGCCGCCTATTAAAAAAGACAGTAATGAGTCATGTTGGTTGCTGAGAGTGCAGCCCCAGTGAAGATAGAACTAAAGTTTTGCCGCACTGCACAGGGAACCGCTCAGGGCAGCCTCGACGCAGGCATATGGCAGTAGTAGTCTCACAGAAAAGCAAAGCACAAACAGCATCTTGAACTACTGTACACACAACGCAGGCAGCTGTTGCTTTTTGTTCAGTGTCCCTACCCTTTCTCTCTTCTCTCTGCGTGTCAGCTTTTACCTTTTTTGCTCTCACAGAACTAGTAGCTTCATGCTTTATATCAGCCAAGCTATAACATCTTCTACAGAGAAAATATGACACATGTGCAAGTTACTAGCAAGGTGACTTGGCTTCTTTTGTCAGGTGGTAAGTTTGAGGCTACGGTGTGTCGGGGTGGCCTCACTGGCCGAATTTTTTACATTTTAGCTATTTTTTTAAAAGTTTCTCACAAATTGATCTTTGGAAAAAGATTTTATAATATAAACTCTTAATTTAGCGCCATTGATGCTGGCGCTGAGCTAACACGTCTCGGCGCCAGCGTCTCTGGGGCCGAGCTCCTAGGCTCGAAGCGAACGTGGAAGGTGACATGGCAGGAAGCTCGGCACCAGTCACTCAGGCGCCGAGCTCAGCGCCGTAGATCTTGGCGCCGAGCTCAGCGCCAGAGTGACTGGCGCCGAGCTCCCTGCCATTCAACCCGGCCCAAGCTTCGTGCCTGAGCGTTCTTCCTCTTCTTTCTCCCCCCTCTCGGGTTTTTTCTCTCCCCATTTCACCCTACCTCACGAATCGGTATATTAGACCTTGAAAACTTTGATTTGATCCGTAGATCTTCGAGAGCAAAGTATCCTCGCTCCCATCCTAGTTTTTTCGCATCGATTCGGTATATATTAGTCGGATTTTTGAACGTAATAATCGTCATCACTTAGGGTTTCATTCTATCCCTCAATATATATATTATACAACCGTAGGATGATGCCAAGGTGTGAAAAAGCTAGCAAACCTAGGCGCATGTAGTTATGTTATGGGTTCATTGTTGTGCATCAAATGGGAAACCCTAGGTTTAGGGTTTAATGTTAACTGCTTTCGGTTCTTAGAAAGAAATTGGTTGTATTGTAGTTATGGTTCTCATTGAGATTTATTTGTGATGTTTTGATTTATGTTTGTTAAATTACATCCGTTTTGTTAGATGCAAGAAATGTTTCGGGAGGAGTTTTGGCGGCAAATTGTCGTCCTCGAGAATTATACCTCACGCTGTCTAGCAAAGATGCCCCGTCCCTCGACCTCCCCCCCCTAATCAGGACTATGGTTTCCCGGCCCATGTTTTTCAATTGAAACATCCGGACACAGCGGCGCGTTGCTTCTACACATGCAGTCGTTTTAATGTAAGAAATTATTTTCACTATCCTTTTTCTTTATTTGTGTAAGTATGGTACTAATATTTTGTTGGAATCTCGTTGTGTAGGACCATAAGAGGTGCTTTTTCTTTCAGTGGATTGACGGTGCAGACAAGTTTGATCCTAGGTATCTTTTTTCAACGATTGGTTTAGAGGAAGACATCCACGTGAGGACTTCAAGCGGTGGGTTCCACCCCCTAACCCTCCGCCAATGACGGCTAAGGAGAAGCACCTAGCCGCAGTTAGACGACTCGAAGAACCTCCTCTATGCGATTGTGGAGATCGAGCTGTGATAAACCCTGAGAATACGTTGGAGTTTGTGTGTCCAAACAAGCATGAAGTAAGTGCAAAGTGTATGTGTTGAAATGTTGAGCTATATGTGTTCATGTACTAATATCTACTTATTTAGGTGTTTTCAATGGCGAAGTGTCGTTTCAAGGAGTGGTTGTATGGTCTTAAGAACCAATGGGTAGAAGAACCGCAAAAGGTTAAGGAAAAGAAGAAAGAAAGGGTAATTTATAAAGCATCTCATGTCATGTGCGAATATGGTGTTAAATCCAACTATGGCCTAGTCTCTTTGGAGCTTGGAATAGGCCATTATTACGACCATATGGTTGAGTATGATGAGGTTTGTTATTTTTGTGGTAAACATAAAATCGTATTTTGTTTCTTTTGCTAAGATATATATGATATAATTTTTCGTTTGAACAGAGCACTAGGAAATGCAGGTGGGAATGTTATGATGGTCAAGCTAAGTTCTTAGATGAACTGAAGAAGAGGCAAGTAATTGCACGAAAGAGGGGATATGGACCTGACTACGTCAACCTATTCGTTAAACATCACAAAGAAAAGATGCGTGAGTTTGCTAGACAATGCGGTATTTGTAACTCGATCGATGTTGGGCTTAACAAATGGGGATTGGAGAGACGGATGACGTTAGAGGAGGAGAGGGCAAGGAATGAGGCAAGGGAGGAGATAAGAGTACAGATGCAGGTCTTGAACAAGCATGTTGTTGCATTATGTGCCAGTGAGTGCTTGAAAGCATTTTTTTCGTTGCCTGATTTTAAATGTAATATAATCGCGTTACTAACTGATTGCATTTCATACATGAAGGGATTGGTTGCAGCGAGGAACATGCTGCAGAGCTGGCTCGTGCAAGGTATGAGGAGAAGAAGTTAGATGAGCATAGATCATGAGTTGGTCGCACTGTTCAATCACCGATTGTGTTGTCTGATGAGGGGGACGAGGATGAGGACGACACTGGCAGACTGAGTGAGCTCATTGCTCTAGCAGAGGCGGGCTTACAGGCACAGGAGGCTAAGGACGATACTGGCAGACTGAGCGAGCTCATCGCTCTAGCAGAGGCAGGGTTGCAGGCGGAGGAGGCTGAGGAAGACACTGGCAGACTGAGCGAGCTCATCGGTCTAGCAGAGGCAGGTTTACAGGCGGAGGAGGATGACGACACGTTCTTTACTCAGGCCACAGCGGCCGCAGATGAAGCGGAGGCCGCTTACTACAGGCGACAGGCAGGTCAGAGCAATGTAGGTGAGCCTAGCCACAGCAACAGAGTTGTAGTAGAGGACTGGTACTCGGATGATGAGTTGCTTACTCAGTATGTTTCAGACTGAGGATTTGGAAGTGCATTTGCCCCTATGTCTACTGTCGGCACGTACTTCTAGTATTATTATGTTGTTTAATGTGGTATAGTATTGAACTTTTCATTATGTGGTTGTTTTCATTATTTATGGTCTTAATATTCCGCTTAATGTTACGGACGTATTGAAATGTGAACACGTGCTATAAATAAAACCTAACGACGTACGGCATTATATAATTCAACGCACAAAACACATGAAATGGCATGCGAGAACATGTACCGAACCTGGGTATAGAGCACTGTTCACCTAAACGGCCGTTTAGCCTGTTTACACACCGTTTAAACGCTATATGGTGGTACACCGTTTCCGTTTAATCGGTTGTTTTGACCGTTTAAACGGCCGTTTTCCCGTTTAAACACCCGTTTTACCCGAATAATGGGCTAAACGGTAGGTGACCAACTGTTTACCATTTAACGTTTAGGATAACACTGGTATAGAGTTTTCTTCGACTAAACCTAACATGCCTTAGGTAATTAAACCAAACAACAGACACATAGATGTGGCATGTGAATAAGATAAAGTCATCCTAGTAGTGTGGCCACATAGCAAATTGTGTTGCACCTTCTCCATAGTAGCCTCCCGTTGTTGGTGGTGGTGGTGGCAGGGGTGACGGGGGAGACCCCTTGTTCTTGTGGTTAGGGCATGTGCAATATGGATCATTGCAGAGTGCCTCCTGTGAATCGGCGCCATTGTTGTTGTCGTCTTGTCCGTCATCCTTGTAACCGCTGCTAACTTCTCTTTCTAGATCGAAGATACGGTCCTGTAGGTAGTAGATGTACCCGCATGCGGATAAATAGGTCGAGGATTGACCCACCTAGTGAACCCATAATTTTCTTCGGCCAAGGAAGACTACAATAAGTATGTCGTATAAGTTATATAGAAGAGGAACATATTGAAGAAACAAATAGTAATAGCAATTACCCATGCTCACGGGAATTTGAAGAAACAACGACCTCCATCTATTCCCTCGGTGAACATCTGCACTAGGCAGTCCTCACCATGCATGCATTTTGGCCACTCTTCTTTCCTTTCATCGTATCCTCTCAGTGGTGCCTCTTTGGTGAAATCACTTTTGCTCTCAACTGAGAACCTCTTATAAAGAGCTTTCTCAAAGAAATCGGGATCAAGAGGACCCTCCCACCTAATGGTAGTTCCCTTCCCCTTCCCCTTTCCTCTTCCTCTAGACAACCCTCGAGACATTGGTACTGCAACGAAAGAAAATGTTGAGGAGTGTTCTTCTTCCTTGTTGTGTGTGTGAATGAGAGGGAGTGAGTGGTTTTTTATAGGTTTAGAGGAGGAATGGAGGCCTCTCAATGTGCCATGTCAGCGATCCGTGTGTCTCTTTACCTCAGCCCTTGGATCAAATAGTCATAAGATGGATGGTGGAGATAGAGTGGAGTTGTGCTTCCTTGCATGCCAGTACTATGTCAGTGATGTGATAAATCGCTGTTGTCCTTGTATCTAAAAAGTCTATTTTTATTGTCTAAAAAGCATAGATTCGTTCACTGTTGCTTGGTAACCCTAGATTCATCTACAAAGCGTATATACGATACGTTTGGATTATACACGTTCTAATAAATTTACAGTTAATCTGTGTACTACATTTGTGCCTTTTTAGTAGTGTAGTATGATTAATGATTTACGGAAAAAATTCACAAGAGTTTCCCTTGTTTTAGGAGCATCCACAGTTACAAACAGAGACATCATTATATATTCCAAACATTTAATCATCCAAGGAGCAAAATGCAACCACAACGAACATCACAACCAACATAATATGTCTTGCATAGTTCAAATAGTCCACAATGTCCA